TATTATTAATGCATAAAAAAATTATAGGAATAGAACAGAACACACTTGAAACAATCAAACAAATGAATACCCCACGCAGCCTGTTATATATTTATATTCCATATTGTCCTCTACTGATATTCCACCAAACAAACGCTTTCGTGGAACAAACAGAAGAAAAACAGAAATGCAATCACCATAAAAATGTGAAAATCACCTTTTCCGAGAAGGAAGTGTAGTACCGAAATCCATGATGGTGAATTGGTGATTGTAACATACGACAAATTCAATTCATGCATCAACCTGTTTCTGCTGAAGCTTGCGAGGAAGCAGAACTGGAAAAAGGAAATCATGCAATTTATCAATGGTGTAAAGAAAAAAAGCAAGTTATCTTGCAAAAAATATTTTTGTCCAAAATTTACCTTCGTCCATAGTGCAAAAGCTTTCAGCGGGAAAGATCGTGTCGGGATCCTTCTGTTGCTGTAAGGGTAAAAGCAGAGCAACGGCGCTTTTACTGCAGAAAGAATAAAAATATGAACCCAAAATTAGTTTTATAAAGAGAAGAAATTGAGGGCTGAAAAAACTTAAGACTGGTTCTTACATAAACAAGAGCAAAAGACTGAACATGTTTGATAAAAGAACCAACAAACAGAAAAAGGCAAGATTTTTCTATTGACTGGGAGATTGCGAAAACGAACAACAGGAAAACTGATTTTCCCCAACAGTCAACGGATTAATATTAGAACAATGATAACTGATGCCTTCCTCATCTAAGGAGGGTTTATGTATAATCAGTAATACGGTAGATATTAAGTACGATAATTCATAATACTATCCCCATTGTCGCTATTTAGATCCATGAGATCAGCCCCTTATTTCAGATTGGATCAATGGATTTGGCCAGCGACTATAAACAATCCACAATTTTTACCCATGAGATGCCCTTCGCTATCAGAACATGAATTACTCATACGCAACAGATTTCCTGCCTCCAAAATTGCTTTAACAATAACTGCTTAATAAATGCAATTTGTAGATTAACAACAAATTATCTAATGGTTATACGCATTTTGAAATATCATTGTTTCAGATTTGTTTCTTTTTGAAAAATTGCACTGAAGGTTAAGGATACTTTTCACAATCAACTCTAAAGTTTATAAATCCACTAGTATACTGTACACATCTCAGAAATATTTCTTGTGCTACTATATATACCCTTTAGTATGATGATTCCAATTCATAACTTTTTCCTTCACTTAATTAAGGTTCAAAGTGTGCTGATATATTCATCAAATTAACTTTGCTTCCAGATTCCTTCACTATCAAACAGCAAAGCAAATCTATTCTTTTGTTAGCTTAACACATCCCTTGGCATTCGTATAATATCTCTTCATTGTAAGTAAACAAGCATAACTGTTTCATGCCTCATCAAATGATTTTTTTCAGAATAAATGATAGCATATTTTGAGTAGGAAAGTAACTATTACCTGGCCCATGATGGAATAGATTTCTTGGTGGGTAACTCATCATAGTCTTCATCTTCATCATCAGAGCACTGATATGGAGAGATATCATATGATTTTCCTTGACCATTATGAACGATCAACTCCACATTTTTGGGTGATTTATCCAATGCATGCATAACCTAGAAATATATAAAGCAACAAATGTAACGAGTGCAAATAAAACTACTATGTGAAGCTTACTACTGCTGGTAAATTAAAATATTACATATTGGTATATCGATGCTGGATTGCTGATTTAGATCTCAAATAACACATGGAAACAATACATATAACTGTTATATCACATCACTAAAAATGGAACATGCTCCAGAAAAATCAAATAAAATCTGGATTCTGAAATCAGAAAGTCTCCTACCTTTCCAACTCCACAATCTTCGTAAGTTGTCACGACTTCGGAGGTAGTTGATTTAGCGTCCGCCTTTCTCAAAGCTACGTCATCTCCTCTAGCAATTTCTCTATTCTGTTGCTTCTTGAATTCATGAAGAGATTCCTTCTTCCCGTTCATTTTCTCATCCTAGAATATCCGAGAATGCGCGGAACTACATTAACGGCCAGAAAAAATTGAAGACTAAAAAAAACATACTCCTAAACTTGCCATAAACAAGATATAAAACCTTGGACGACTGATTGTCCTTTTCAGCTTTGCCTGCGGTCATCTTTTCTTGTCCCCTTTGCTGATATCTAGCTTCATGTCGCATTTTTTTCTTCTCCTTCTCCTTTTTCTCTTCTTCCTCTCTCTGCCTTTTCTTTGCAATTATAACAGCATCTTTTTTCTTGCGTTTCTCCTCTTTCTTTTTTTTCTCCAGGTCCATATGTCTAATATTCTTTTCCTCCAGCTTTGCTCGTTTAAGTTGCAAAGCCTCTTTCCTCCTCTTGCGTTCATTCTCCTTCTTCTCTTCTAAACGTTTAGCCGCCTTTGCCGCCTCCAGAGCCTTCACCTTGACATCTTTTTCTCCTACAAGATTAGAGAGTGAAAGATCATATAATTTGGAGGTGAAAAGTATTTTGGACTAAAATATTTTTTCTGATACTCATCCAGTAAAGTTTGTTGAAATACACACTCAACAGATATAAACCACTATTATTTTCTAAATTTTTTAAGCCTTGATACCAAATCATAACAGAAATATCAGAAAAGGTTTCCACAATTAAATGCTTTTATCGTAGACATTTAAGAAAGGAGATGCAATTAGTCTATGATCAGTTCCTACGTACTCACTAAGAAAGTAGGACTCATTGGATCCCCTTTCCCTCTCCCTCTCCCTCTCCAACATACTCACTAAGAAAGTATGACTCATTGGAATGCTGCATGCACGCACTAATATATTCATTACAAAGAACCTGACTTTGACCAAATGTTACAAACTTCAGAATCCTCAATTAGTTGGCTGAATCACTTCTTTGATTGATTAATGAACAACTTTTTACATGGGTGTATAAAGAATACTGAAAGATTAAAAGACCCATCTTTCTGATTAAACAAAATGAGCACTCTACTACAGTTTTCTAAAAAATAGAAAACCAATAGCTTTACCCATTATAGTGAAGAAACAGAAAATCACAAAGAACCACGACTTCTGTACAATCATGTTACATCTGTGCTAAGAATCTTCACATAAATGCATAAATCGGAGAAAACCCAGGCATACACTAAATCAGAGTATCTTCTTTGTCAGGTTGAAAGATGATAGTAAAAACAAGGTAAAGCAAACATTCGGGATAGTATTGAAAAATTATAATCATGTCATAAAATTTCACAGCATATAAAACCTAAGCAAAATAGAAAGAGAAATGCATTCATAGATGTGATCTCCAAGAAGAAGTAAAAAACATATATATTAGGAAATCTATTCAGGGTGAAACACACAAACACTCAAACAAAGGCAATGACCTAATGTTTTGGGCTGCCGACAATAACAGAGTTCATTTATAACTCAGGCAATCTTTTCACTAAAGCACATTTAAAAATTCAACATTATTTATCAGTACCAAAAGAAAGAAGAGTTACCATCACATTCTTTCGCTGCTTGTTTTTGTTGTACCAGTGGTATAAAGGAACTAACATTTGAAATGATATTATTCCTCTTAGGCTCTCTCAAAGAAAGCTTTTCATGTTGTCGTTTCAAATCCGATTTAGTTGATACCAATGGTTTTCTGATGCTGTCACTAAATGGTGCTTTGGACTTCTTGATCTTTTCAGTACACTGCAGTGACGGCTGTTTTTTCCTATCATCATTGGCACCAATAGATGAAGTCCCTTTTTCACTGGTATCACTCCTGTTTAGATGTTGAATTTTTCGACCATACTGAGCCTTGTCTTGTGTGCCAGTGACACTCAGTTTAGTTCCCAGAGAATCCATTCTATCTGCCACCAGAGCTTTCTCGTGTACAGAAACTGACATTGGAGGATTCAAACCCAGATTGGAAAGGTCTTTAAGTGGTTGTCTATAATCTCGGAACTCATCCAATGATGAATCAACTTCTTGAACACCAAATGCAGTCTCATCCATAGACTTATTCTCTTCGCTAATACTGAAGTCTTCCTCAATCGGGAAGCATGTTAGTTCTGGATTTGAACTTGAACGCTTCTCTGAACTCCCGGTATGTGATGAAAGTCTTTCCCAGAGCTTACCAACTGGAGATGCCTGTTGGCCTCTTAAACTCCGACCATAACATGTGTCACTGTATGGTAGATAATCAGAATATGGCATCACTTCAAGGGCTTCCATCCAATCACCTACGCGACTCTTCCTTGACTGACGCTGTTCGCTAGCATCAGAAGACAAACTACTAGCAAGATCTAAGTTCTCATAACGTTCGGGCTGATATAAATTTTGGTTTCCCTGAAACTCAAAAGCAAACGAGAGATGGGAAGAGGGTTTATCCAAGCTTGAAGATCTACAAATGTGAGCTAGAATGCTAGCACGTTCTATAGTATTGCTTGGAAGCTTCAGCATGTCAAAGTCAACCTTGTCCGGTACAAGATCCAGTCCACCACTATCTGCTTGTCCATCTACAATAAACCCCTCGAGTACAGGCATAGATTGATCAACATCAATGAGATCCAGGTCTACAGTTCTTGGAGAGAGAACAGAAGCTTGTGCCTGTTCACCACTTCCCTCCTTGGGAGATTGTATACCTTCAAGCATTGTATTGGTGAGACTCGGGTTCTCCAAACCTAAATCATCGCTATTCTTCTCTAGATTACAAAGATGCTGGCTAAGTTGTTCACCTCTGATCTCTCTTACATCAAAATGGTTATTGCTTGAATTTATATGACTTGTATCCTCTGTAAAACATCCTTGGGCATTTATAGATTCCTTCCTCACACTTGAAACAAGGGGTGCCCCTAACAGCTCGTTATTGACAAAGGAAGATGAATTATTGTGCTCCCTCTCCTTCTTGTAACAAAATCCAACCTGCATTTAGGAGGAAAGAATGCTCAAAACAGTTACATTTAAAGCTGATGTCTGACAAAAAAAAAATGACATTTCTGTTAACCATGACAGGCGAAAGGGTGAATGAAATATTATCTTTCCATTATCTATCCTCAAATCTGAATCAATCTCATAAAGTTACAAATTAATAACAAAAATTCGCAAACAAGCAGGATCAGCTCCATATATTGCAACACCCATTAGTCATTCCTAGTTGACTTTTCATATATATGTTGTAAATGAAGAGCCAACTACCCAAGTTGGAGTCACCATTTGGAGTTCTTAACATCGTCACGGTTAAGCAACATTCTTCACAGGATCAGGTTACAGTTATTTGACCATCACTATCAAAATATGGAATAGATAAAATCCAAACTTAAGATTAATTAATCTATTTTCCCTTTAAAATATCATTGTTAAGAATATTTTGAAGGTACCTAATTTAATTCTATTTCTTATTTTATTTTCCTAAAACCATAAATGATGAACGCTATATCTTCAAAAAGAACCATACATGCCGGGAGAAGAGAGGTCAAACCTGAGAACACCACTAAAGAATTAAGGGCCTGACTGGATACAACTTCTTTCAAAAATCAACTAACTTTATCCAATAAATTCAATCAAATCCAAAATAACTTAAATCCAATCAGGCCCTAGATGGTTCATGAATAGTCACCAGATAAGCATACAAGCAAGGGTATGTTAAACATACACAAATATATAACCCAGTTCTGATTCAAGTTTGTCGAGCAGAACATGAGAAAATGTAAAAACTAGACCAAAAAATGACACAATCCATTCGAAGAAGAAAAAACATATGTTGTGTATCTGCAGTAAAGTTTAAGTAATATCTACCAAGCACTCAAAATAAATATTGAGTTTTGCCAAACAAAAAAGAAATAAAAAAAGAAATGAAAAGAATAAACCTCTCCATTGTGAGATGAAAATGCAGATTCAATTCCTGCCGCCAAATTAGAAACCATCTCAGGTGGGATTTCATTGTCGGTATGTCTATCTGCATGAAAAGCGTCCGCGGCAGTGTCTAGATACGTATCAATGTTCAGGAAATATATGCTGCCACTTTTAGTGCTGTGGGGCTTTCTCAACTTAAATGTGGAAGTGGTTAAATTATGAGTTTCTTTATGTTCAAGCTTTCTCCTCTTTAGTTGTGGCCATGTTTCCACGCTGAAATGTCTGAATCTTCTCTCAGGTGACAAATTTTCACCACAAGGTGAGACTGTTCCATATGTCAAAAGGACATTATTTCTTAACGGTGAATCTCTATCTCGGCCACAAAGTCCACCTTCAAGGCATGATGAAATTTGGGATTCCTGTGCAGGAAATTGTTTTGTTGTTTCAAGAACACTACAAATTTGATTTAGGGTGTCTACATTATCAATCATGAAATCACAGGACTCTGCCCTTGGCTCTTCTGCTGAAATATAAGCATGTGACACCCTAAAATTTTGACCTTCTGGAGTACTTGACACCAATTGACTTTTCTTATCCTTTGATGACCTGAGATTTCCACTTCCTGGAGCACTTACCAATTGATTCTTATCGCCTGAAACTTTCAAATCTTCCATTCCTATAACAGTCGAAACCAGTTGATTTGTGGCCTTTCTCTCACCGCTCCAATCCTTCTGTTTAACAGGTAGAACATAGGCCATGAAAATATGAACCTCACTAACAATATAGTACCATGCTTTTAATCCATAACAGTGAAATGCGCTTAACAATATATAGGCTTGTATGACCCGAGTTATGAACTGGTTTCTAGGGGTTAAGAGGATAAAAAATCACTTCTTACAAAGTTTATAATCTCAAACATGTCCAAGAAACATTTTAATCAGCAGTCCATCTCTCCACCCACTTCAATCTTATAATAAACTGTAAACTCATTGATATCTATGTCATGTCCTATCTATCGATGGATTTATTAAGTGTTACAATCACACAAATCAGACAGATGAAAATAAAGTATCTATAAAAAACAAAGGTTTTAGTGCACCAATAAAATACTATCACTATGGTGTCTCTTCTTTCTTAGTTCTTACAAGGAGCTAGCCACTTTGAACATGCCAGCTTTCCAGAACAAGTTGGTCCTCATAGGAGCTGGCCTAGGTGAAATACATAATTTTACTTAATTATTGCACCTATAACCTACGCAAAAATGTTCTTAATAAATTTGGTAAGTCCAAGATAATTATCTTCTGCTAAACCTTTTCAATCTTGGACCCAATAAAGTGAGGCATATAAGGCAAGAATAGAAGGAAAATTTGTAGCTAAGAGATGTAGAAGTCACAACAATCTGACCAGAATATTTAACAAACCACGTACCTCCTTTGCATCAATAACCCCTTGTACTGATTTATCACTTAATGGAACAAGAATGCCACCATCAGCCTTGGCAGACTGAGAACGGATTGCGGGATCAGAAGCCTCAATATCAAAGGCATTTTGTTGGTCAGAACCATAAGATGGAACAGCACTTCTTGCTCTGTGACTCTGGAAATCTCCTGCAATTGATTCTCGGTTGTCACAGCCTTTAGCAAGGGCATTAGAATGATTACTCAGTGATCCATGAACAGCCCGTGGAGGTGAATTATCCACGGAATCCATCATTACCATGTCTATTATGTGATAATCGTCAGAAGAAATATCAGCTTTTGAAGAATCAGACCTAGAAACATCAGCTTTTGAAGAAATACCATGACTCCGACATTTGCTAGAAACACAAGACCTAGAAAGTTTAGCAGTAGAAATATTTGGGCCTTCATCATTAATGAGACAATCTGCACCCTCCACTTTCTTGTCTCCACATCTTTGATGATAGACAGTAAACGGACCAGCACTCTTTGGCTCCTCATCAACACAATCATGAGCGTCCCCAGAATCAGAAAGATGCATGGACTTCGTTTTTCTTACATCAGAAATAAGACGGAGGGCATCTTCTTCGAAATTCTCAGATGAGCAGCCTTCGTTAAGAACTTTAGAAGGATTAAGCAATAAACCATTAACAGACCGTGGGGCAGAATTATCCTCAGAAACTATCATTACAGTGTCTATTCTTTGAAAATCATCAGAAGAAATTTCTGCTTCTGAAGAATCAGAACAACTTTGACATTTCCTAGAAACGGTAGACCCAGAAAGTCTGGCAGTATATATATTGGCGCCTTCATCATTGGTGGGACAATCTGCACCATCCACTTTCTTGTCTCCACAGCTTTGACGGGAGACAGTAGATAGACTGGCTAACTTTGGGTCCTTATTAATACATTCATGAGCCTCCCCAGAATCAGAAAGATGCATAGACTGCGCTTTCCTTGATTTAGAAATAAGAGGGAAAGCATCGTCTTTGAAAATCTCAGACGAGCAGCCTTCATTAAGAACATTAGAAGGATTAAATGGTGATCCATCCACAGCTTGTGGGGGTGAATCATTCCCAGAATCCATCCTTACAATTGCTATTCTATGATAATCATCAGAAGATATATCAACTTTTGAAGATTCGCTGCCATGGCTTTGACATTTGCGAGAAATACTAGATCTAGAAATTCTACCAGCAGAAGCATTGGCGATCTTTTCATTGCTGATACAACCTACACCGTCCACTTTCTTGTCTCCACAGCTTTGATAATAAGCAAAAGATGGACCAGCTGAATTTGCCTCCTTATAAACCTGATCAGCCGCCTTCCCAGAATCAGAAATGTCCATAGACTGTGTTCTCCTTACTTCAGAAATATGACGGAAAGTGTCATTTTTTAAAATCTCAGATGAGCAGCCTAGATAACTTTGAACAAAATCTGGAACTTTTGCGTTGCTTCTTGACCTAGTAATTCTACCAGAATACTCATTCTTTTCCTGTACTTTGCTTCGGACATCAGCATTATACAAATTTGAGTCAGCGCGATTCTGACTACCTGTGACCCAGTATTCGGAAAAATTGGATGGTTCATCATTCTGGAACACCTTATTTGTTGAAGAAAGAGAAAATCTACTCTTACCAGAAAGAGCATTCCTGATATTCTCATTGCTTATGCCACTTTTATCCAAGGCCTTTGAACTATTTCGAAGCTCAAGAGCTTTTTGTCTGGATTTAGACCTTTGGATTCCAGCTAGTGAATGATCTGGCGCATTATAGATATTTACAATCCTCTCATCTATCTGATCCATTGGTGAGGTAAAGCTAACGTCTGGCTCAGGAACACCATCAAGGGCACATCCAGCTTGTTCCTCACTGCTCATTGGAGGTGTTGTTGAATGGTCTAGCTTATTGAAACCTTTACCGCAATCTGGATTTTCCATGAAAACTCCACCAGAAAGATCTTCATGATCTCCTGTGACAACTAGGGTCTCATACAAAGGATGGTGTGGAACGGAGCACTTGGCTGGAGGTCGTGGATATGGCCGTAGAAGTTTAGAGATTAACTCTTCTTTGTTTAGCTCTGCAATGACACAAGCAGTAAAAATGATAGATATCTGGAAAGAATTAAACTGGTTTTATCCCCTGTCGGAGAGGTGGGGATCACAGCACAACTTGGTCAAGGTAACAAAGAATTGTAAAAATCTAAGTTCTCGTACATGCGGAAATCTCAAAAGACACATGATTAGTAAAATAAATGAATGGCCACGACGGAAAAACTAAACAAAATTAAGTTCCACGAGAAACTATGTTCAGCTCCTCTCATAGTAGTTACATGGAAGTACTCAATGTAAAAGGAAAATTAACTGTTATGTGAACCCAGAATCAAGCTACAGATTTTATGCATTGCATTAGATGCAACAAAACAGAGACTAATTCAGGTTAATCTAATTAGACTCGATTCTGAGTAATAAATCCAACAAAGCCCTAGAATCCATAGCTTAAGATAATTACCATTTGAATCCGGGGAGGCGCTGGGGCTCCAAAGCCAAGAGGGAGGTTTGATTCCATCAATGATGAGTTTGGAAGCGAGGTGCTGGCTGTACAAATCGGTCTGTTGATTCACCTGCTCGATTATCGAATTCTTCCTCTCGAAGATCTGGACCAACAGCTTCTCCACCGTCGTCATCTTCCTCCTCCGGCCGTACGGTCACAAATAGTACATCGACCAATGCCGCAAAACCTTACTCCAATGGCGGTTCGTGCAAGTGTGTCAGATGGGGAAGATTCAGAGTGTGTGTGGTGTGTGTGCGCGTGTGTGAGGGAGAGATTGGAAGACCGTTGGACTTCATATGACGTCTCGCGCGGAGGGAATTCAAATTGCTTTAGGCTATGTTTGGTTCAACTGAGGGGAGGGGAGGAGGGATTTTAATGGAAGGAAGGGGAGGGGAGGAGAGGTGATAGTAAAATAATTTTACCTTGTTTGGAGGGATTTGGAGGGATTTTGTAGGAGGGGAGTGGAGGGAAAATGGTAAACCTTGTTTGGTTAGAATAATGGAGGGGAAGGAAAATATTGTAGAAATGATAATTATATCCTTAATGATGTAAGAAACAAAATAATAAAATAATTTATACATAATGGATAATATAGTCATTTATGTGTTAAAAATTTTCCCTCCCCTCCAAATTCCTCCACTTTTGGAGGGGAGGAGATTTTCTCTTGGAGGAGGGATTTGAAGGGAAAATATCAATCCTTCTTCCTACAAAAAATTGAACCAAACAAGGGAAAATTATAAAATTCTCTCCCCTTCCCTCCCCTCCCCTCAGTTTCCATCGAACCAAACATAGGGTTAGGGAAAAAATCATTTTAGTACGCCAATTATATTTATTTATCATTTTAATCACTTTTGTTTTTGTATGCAATAAACTGTAATTAATTAGCCTGAGTTGAATGGGAAGCTCAGTTGGTAGCACCCTTCACCCGGTTGGTAGCACGGTATCAATAAATTACGAGTTCGACTCATTCGAGGGGTAAATAGGGAACACTATTGATTTTTTTTCAAAAAAAANCGAAACATTAAAATTTCATAAATAAATAAGTGAATTAATGGTGTCGGAAATTTCTCCATTAAGCCACATTCAAATTCACATAGAAACAAGACAAAATAAATAAAAAAAAACTAAAAGGAGAAAAAAAATAAAAACTAAATTTACAAAACTATGAACCCAGAACTAAAATCTATCTATACTTGTATTTGAAGTAGATCATTTGGTACCACTCTTCACCTAGGACCAATAGTCTTGAGTTCATGTTCTACTGGGGGTAAATGGGGAACTATTATTAATCATCTTTTAAAGAAAATAGAGGAAAAAAAAAATCGATAGAGGACTTGTAACCCATGAAAAGATGAGCAATACAAGAGCTTATACATTAATTTTGGATAGTCAGCTCTTTGGGAAAGTGCAGAAAAACTAAGGGAAAACACATATTTTCAAGCTCAGATTCACAACAAAATTTAAAATTGGCAAAGAGATATTGTAAACTCATGAAGAGAAGAACGAAATTAGAGCTCACGACACATCAATTTTGAATATTTAAGACTTGGGGAAATTGAATTTTCTAATAGAATAAATGCTAAAATTTTGAGAAATAAAAAGTGCACAATATTGATCTCATTTTTCTCTCTCAAAACTCGAAATTGATAAAACGCTACTATAACTCACTAAGAGATGAAAACAATATATTTTCTATCAATTTTGGACCATCAAAGCGTCGGGGATTGGTGTTTGAATCTCAATGCTTCCACCGCGTATCAGAAGATAGTAGGTCTTCGATTGACAATCATGGTATGAATTTGACATTTTGATGAAAATGGTATTTAAACTTTAAAGGGTTATCATATCGATTACTAGGTAGTAGACTACGATATTTGAGATAGTGCTAACAAATCATTATTCATCATGCTCGTTTTGGTTCTTCATTGGACAATGTCGATTTGAGATAAAATTTACACGTAAGTGGCACTAGTTGAAGGAGAAACAACGTGGTAAGAAGACAGGCTGAAATGACTATTGGGTGAAGATGTTCTAGGACACATAGTGATTGAGTTGTGTCGTGACATGACTGTGTGTGTAACACACGGATAGGTTCAACATGCATTCTGTTGTTAGTAAGCACGGTATGCATGCACAAGTTAGTGTTTGAGGGTCAGTTTGGTTGCAGACGAGAAGGGGTAGCTCAGTTGTTAACACTCTTCACTTGGCACCAATAAGTCTCAAGTTCGAGTCACTTAAGAGGGTAAATAGGGAACTACTATTGATCCTCTTTTCTTTTTTTTTTTCAAAAAAAAAGAAAAGGCTCAGTTTGGTTGCAATAATGAATTTGGACATTATATAATGGCCAATTTTTTTATTTACCACAAGAAAATTAAAAAAATTGCATATGTACGAGATCTGANAAAGGTAAGTGGATATATACTATTTATTAGGCGATTGTTCTTATTAGGAAACTAGTTTGATTTAAAATTCAAATGTATTATCTCTCTATCAAAATACAATAAAAAAACCCCGACATTGAGATATACAGTATGTTCACGATTCACAACATGAAGTTTCTGCCTGCTACAAGCACTCGAACATATACGTAATATATATGAGCAGACTGATTCATATATCGAACATATACATAACATATACTGAAAATAACACCTCCAGGCGTCGGATGTTGGTCGGAAATCGCGGGTCGCTGGGCTATTTTGCGAGAAGCCAGACAAGGCTGGTGGTCGTGCTCAGTGGAGGATGAGGCTCGTCGGGGAGGGTCAGGCGTACGGTTGCCAGGCGCCGTGAGTTCGAACTCGCCGGGATTGGATGCTCTTGCGGCGGGTGGCTCGCCGGAGATGAAGGGAGAATTATTTCTTCTCGAAAAATGAAGCTTTCTTCTCGGCGTGATTTCGAACTCGCCAGGATTAGATGCTCTTGCAGCTGGTGGTTCGCCGGAGATGATGGGAGAATTATTTTTTTCTCGGAAGATGAAGATTTCTTCTCGGAAGGATAATGGCGAGGAGAGAGAAATGAGTTACCAAAAATATGAGAACGTTTGACTTTAGGAGAGAGAAAAGGGTTACTATAAATTATTTATCAATTATTTCTTGTAATAGTGCAAATAAAAGATGGAATTTTGTAAGCGTGCAATATAAATGAGATTAGCTCGTGGCAGGTGTAATTTTTTCTTATATAATCCTCTTATTTTTTCAAAGGCAATTCATCTATTTAGTTAGTCCATTTGACTTGCTTAGTTTATGGTTGAAAATATATCCTTTAGGTTGCAATTACTTATCTACCTTCCATTTAAAATTAAATTTTCAAAATTTTCCCTAAGAGCATCTTCAATGCATTGGGTCTAGTCTTGCCTATGTGGTAAGTAAATAAACTCAAGTCTTAGATGCCGTGGATAAAACTATGTAAAATTAATAAAATTCACTCAAATGCAAAAAGACTAGGTCTCTACTTGGGTCTAAAATAGACCTAAGGGGAGATCGGGTCTCTTTTTCTGGCTGTCACATCAGCAAGACCCAGTTTACTTTTATTTGCATTGAAAAATATATTTTTTTGGACTGGGTCTATTTCTTATGTGGCATGTAATTTTTTGGGATTAAACCCAAAACATTGTAGATGCTCTAACAGATTGAGAAAATGGGTCAATCCGAAATTAAGTTTTATCCACTATTTTGTTCATATTTAATTTTGTACACATCCATAGATCATGGAAATTTTATGCATAGACCATCCCTAATTTTTCTTAATCAATCACCACGCCGCCGACAATCAAAAGTTGACCCAATAACCCGAATGAACCTTGACTTCCAACCCCCAACCCGAGAGTTGTTCGACCAAATCGACCGCTATGCCGCTCAAACTTCAGATTGAATACATTGTTGCCGATTTAGACACATCAGCACAATTTCAAGAGCTCACCGCCAGTTAATAATCCGTTTCTCAAGTTATTTACTTTAGTGTCATCTTGCTAAAATTTCATTATTGATTAATAGACTTCTCAATACTTTCATCAAACAATATAATTTTATAACACAAAAGCAAGAAGCGTAATTATATAAAGTCACAAAAAATACCTCTTCAGGCACAAAATGGTCAAGGAGTGATAATTATATATGTTAGCACCCCACTGGTAGGGGTCAACTGAAACTAAACTCTTCTAACAAACACACAGGTCAAAATTTGTGGAGGGTGTGTCAATAAGGCTACACCATTCATTCATTCAAAACAGCAATGTCCACCCAGGACTGACATCATCTTCAGACAA